GTCGAAAGTATTTGAGAAGGTTCTAGAGACACGCTTAACTTCCATTTTATTACATACAATTTATTATCTAACAATCAGTATGAATTTAGAAAAAATAAATCTAAAATTGGCTCTGACAGAAAAACTTAACAATGCTCTTGACAGAAGCAAACCTTGTCTTTGCGTGTTTCTGGACCTCTCAAAGGCCTTTGACACCGTTAGTCATCCTTTGCTTGTTGATGCTCTAGAGCAGTCATACTCAACCTGCGGCCCTCCAAGCTTTTTTTGTGGCCCGCAACACTATTATTGGTCGCAGCGCTAAATAGCATGCTAATTTTTAAATAAACATTTGGAATTTTGTGGCAAAAACAAGTTAGCTCCACTTTTGGAATTTTCGAATTAAGTCGGTACACTTTCTACAAGTGTGAAAGAAGTCTATATTCATGATAAACAGATAGCCAATAAAAACTAACTCCATGTTAATACATTAACAATATGGACAAACAAAATGGAGTGGCATTTATACCAAAACATAATCATAACATTGTGTTCAATTGATAAGTGTGTCTAACAAAACCAGAAAATAGGCATATAACTTATTTTTGCTAAATATATTTAGTCCGATTCTTAATAGTGTTCCTGCCAAAACAAGATAAAGGCCAGAACCGAGGGGAAATTAATAAGGTAAAAATGTACCTGTATTTCGGAAATCACATAATTTTTTTTTATGTAATTTAGGTGATTTCACTGAAAATCCACCTTAATTTTGTACGATGATCTTTTTTCTCGCCATTTCCGGTTGTGAGCGACGAATTTATTTCGACCATGATTTTAGATGATGATTTTGGAATTTTCGAGAAAATGTGTAGTGGTTTCGGTGATTCCGAGTGAAAACGTACCAGTATTTCGGGAGTGGTTTGTCGCTACTTATTTTTGTTGAATGTGTTTGTTGAAATATTACAACATTGTACCCACGCTATTTGTTTTGTTATGACTAGAGCCGTCTCTGGCCTTTCTCGATTGTTCCGAAATCCACGAGATGATTACGTTACCCTTTCTTTCCGCGACAGCAATCCTTAAACAACCACTAGATAATAACACGTGATGTTCGAATCTCCATGGTGGATGTGTGATTGGTCAAGATGTAACGGGTGATTGGTCAAGCTGTAACGAGTGATTCGTTAGGCCGTAACGAGCGAATCTTTATGTGAAAATTCGTAAATAAAAGTATTAGTGGTAACAAGCGAATTTGAATTTTAACCATATTTTCTAATAGACAACATATCAAAAGATTCAGCTATCCTAAATATATTCCACCATAAAAATAGATTTAATTTATCAATGGGCGATGGTGGAATTCGGCTTTATATGCTAAACTCGCACAGTATTTATTCAGAGGGATGCATGAAAGGATGGAACAAAGTTTTGAAAATACTTACAAAAAAGGGCAAGAAGAAAGATTACCTAAAATATTGCAAAATCAGATACACCTGATGAATTTCACCATTATTATTACAATCTACCTGTATCCAATAATGTTACTAAAACTTCGACTGAAGATAGTGACACATACATTGAATTATGATTTGTATGTAGAGCTAAAATAAGCTAAGTGGCGCTTTTTCTCTCTTTTTTTACCAATTATTGATAGATATGTTTTCAATACCTTCTTCATTGAAGTTAATAAACGGTTTGATACTTTTACTGATTTTTTATTCAGTTTTAAACGTTTGAATAGAGTTTTATTGAAACTCTAAAAATGTGAGTTATCTTGTTTTTGCAGTAACACAACGGGAAATATTTATGTTTTGTGTTTTATTTATTAATGTCCCCACCAACTAATTTTAGATAGATGGCCTAAAAAAAAGGTCACCATCCAAAAATATTGCGGCCCGTGTAACATAGCACATATACGAATGTGGCCCGAAGGAACAAAAGGTTGAGTATGGCTGCTCTAGAGAATTATGGTATAAGAAATATTCCTCTAAACCTATTTAAAACCTACTTAAATGGAAGAACACAAATGGTTAGATTGGCCAAAATTTTGGGGGGGTCACAGTAGTCGAATATAGATCTCGGTACAGATATAAGTAAAAAACTGTCAGTGTTTTAGAAAGGTATATTATAAACTTTCTAAAGCACTGAAAGTTTTTTCATACATCTGTACTGATCCCACGAGCCGCCACTGGAGTGAGTAATTTCTTGCCGGTAAGATATGGAGTTCCCCAAGGTACTATTATAGGCCCACCCCTTTTTAATTTATACATTAATGATCCATTTTCAATTAAATCTAAAGGTAAGATTTTGGGCTTTGCAGACGATACAGCTGTTTTCTATAGCAGTTGTAGGTACATGGCGAAATATTAAAGACCTGGTGGAGAGTGATTTTCCTGAAATCCAAAATTGGCTTAACTCAAAATTACTGACAATCAATGTAGATAAAACACTTTAGTTACCATTCTTTTGTAATAAATCATCAGCACCTTCTTTTAATGGTTTAAATTTTATTATTAATAACTGTCATTTTAGAATTAATCAAGTAAAAAACATAAAATATTTAGAAATCATTCTAGATTGCCATCTTAAATGGGATGGACATATCACGTTCATTTGTAAAAAACTAAGATTTATTCTTTACAAATTTAAATATTTAAAATCAATGCTTAATATTAATTCTTACAATCTTTGAGCCTTTTATTTAAAAATATGCTTTAAATGCAATTGTTATTGGCAAATCCCCCCCTCCCCACAAAAAAACGGGCTGGTGCCGCCTTTGTTTTTGAAATTTAAATATATTTTTCAACTAAAAAATATTTGAAACTATTATTCGACAACAACATAAAAAAAATTGTCTTATAAATAATTTACAAGATGCAAAATCTAAGAAAATGCGGATAAACTGATCGCCCAAAAGTGAACATGTGAATAAACAATACCAATATGAATAAACAATGACTTGATGAATAAACTGAATACTTGCGCCATCTATCCGTAATCAGAATAACTTTAGAACTCCTTAAAAAGGACTCTTGTGTTTAACGATTATCATCTATTTGTACTACGTACGCCATCTAACGACATCATGGCGAAGGGACTGAACATTTTTAACAGAAACCTACGTTTAGAATTCGTTAGTTTTAAAGATACCTAAAAGAGATACAGATACCTATTTTAGAATTTAGTTTTCACAAAACACACCTCGGTCTGGCCTTATATTTATTTAAAAAACATCTATAAAATATTTTTAAAAGTTTAAAAAGATCTGATATAAGTACAGAATAGGGCTTTGACTTACATGATAAGACGAATTAGTGAAGATACAATTGAATATGACCCGAAAATTATTAAATAGCTAAAAAATATGATCCTGGAAGCTTTTGGAACATAATAATGGATATCTATTTATTTATGTTTGACAATGGCTTTTGTTTAATGAGATGATATTGAAAGTCTATCCATTTCTATTTTCTCTGAAATTCAGTAATCTATACACAGTCATTACACAGTGACTTTTAAGTATGGAACGCCACAATTATCTCGGAAACGGTTTGCACGATTTTTATATACTTTGGTATGTAATGTAAAGGTTTAGTAATACGACCTATATTATGCTTGAATTAACATTGTTGTCAGATCTTTAGGTTTTCTGGAAATATAATGAACTTTGTTATTTCAAATGGATATACCTATTTTAGTTTTTTGAATTCCTTAAGAAATATCTATTTTTCTTATATAATGTTCCCTATACCAAAAAATATACAGTTTCACTTGTGTTTGTCAGTATTTTTTTTTATAGTTTTTTCCCAACCTTCGATATATGAAATCCATTGATCCACAATTATGAATTATGTGATTCACTAACAAAATTAGCCTATAGCGAACATGAGCAGCGATTGATTTCGAACCAACATAAACAATATTACATAGAGGGATAGAAGATCGTGAAAAACAAAAAGACATAGTCTCCCCATTGTTCCTCTTCCTCTGCCACTCCTTAATGGTAAAAGATAGAAAAAATATAATAGCGAAGCCTCGTCTGAAACGATTTCAACATGCGTTACGGTCATTTTTATATTTTGTGTACACCTCCCAACCCCTATTTCTCCTTCCCATCCCAAAGGAAGTCGATATATAGAACCCATAGAACAGCTAGAATTAGGAAAATTAACTTCGAGTAAGATGGATTGGACTTTTTTGTCTAAATTAGATCCAAAAGTTGCTCACCTTTCTGGAGATTGTATAATAGAGGACCAAAGACATAATCCGATTTTCGTGACTACCCTCCCTCCAACCTCACAAAAAAAGTTCACAATTGATTTTAAAGCGGGTATTAATAATTTGAACGGTATTATATTGTCTGCTGGACCTTCTTTGGAAGGGATCATTATGATCCCGAAGGAATTCGATTCCCCTTCGCTCCAAGTGTAGGAGAGGGGTGAAACATTTTTTTTTTTCATATTTCGGATATTTTGAGAGATTGCATAAATAATTAAAAAATAAAAAAAAATCGAAGAGTAGGCCGAACTCCTTTCGATACCTTTTCTGGGCTGTTAATGATTAGTAACCTCAAAATAAAAATTTGAAATTTTTATTGTGGGAGAGATGGGAGTGATTTTGGATCTGGTTCTCTTCCGCAAAAAATGCCAAGAGTGGACTGAAAATAAAATTGAAGAGATATTATTATACGTTTAATTCATGGGACCGAAAGGCGAACGAAAATTTTTCACGGTTCCCCTCTGGGCTCGTAGCCAAATTTTTTCTATTTATTTACTCTCTTCTGGCCAGTCCCGTTAGACCCCAAAACGTAAAATTCCTAGAAAACTCATGCAAGATATAAAAAATCATTATTCTTATACTTATTCTTATACTGATTCTTATACTTTCTTTATCTATACAGACAGAAAAGTAAAATTGTTAGAAACATAAAATTGTATATTTTCCTTAATTTTTATTAATGATTATGGTCAAATTTCGACTACTGGGCGAGCACTAGTTCAAATTAATGTATCAATAAAAAATTGTAATTGTATATAAAAGTAGTTTTATTTTACCTATAAACATAAACATTCTACTTTATTATAAAGAAACCAATGCATACAATAAATAAACCCAGGCGGACTGTTGAGGTAACTCTGGTTTAAATACTTCTTAACATCATCAACAGTCATCTCAACAACCTCTATAAGTTCGTTATCAATACCGCCTCCCACAGATATTTTCATGTCATCAGTAACTTCACAATAAAAATCGGTTTGGACACCACTATTCGTACCTAAAAAATAGAAGTCATATATAGTCAAGGATATTAACTAAATGAAAAAAATATATATATCTGCAATTTTAGTAGCCCTTAATATGCAACCATTTTAAACTATATCCATTCATCCACTCATTCCACATTTTGAATGGTTAAAAGCTATATACTCAGACAGCAGAAATAGGTCCATTGGACGTCCATTCGATATACAATTTTGGATGTCTGGGACGTCCAAAAATGAGTTTATTCTGGACTTCCGACATAGACGTCCAGTGAAGTATACAAATGATACGCTTATGAAGACTAGAGATAAGGAGACGAATCGGCATACTCAAAATACCGTCCCAAAAAACGCATACTAATTGAGCTTCTATAAATAACCGCATGGGCGCTAGTACTGTATACGGTGTTCAAAATACATGGCTTCTTATGGGAATTATACATAATTTTGTCAAAATAATAAAAATAAACTTGTTTACAGTTAAATAAAGCACAGAACATACGGTTGTATTTATTTCTAAATAAGTTTATAAGTCTTGCATGTTTTAATTAATAAATTATTTAATTTTATCTATATAAAATACAAATTAGGTATATATGACCAAATTCGAAAAGGTTTCTTAATTGCTGAAATTTTATAAGTACAAATTTGTGGCAATTTTTTTTTTAATTGAACCAATATATACTTTTAAGAGTAAAATAAAACACAGTTAACAGATTTTTTATTGTTGTAATACAAGTATAAAGGGAGATTTGGAAATGTACATGGTATTACCTCATCCTTTAATTTCAGCTTTCTCCTTTTTATTTTGCTAACCGTACCATCAGTAAAAATAGTCTCATAATATTTGATAATATCTTCTAAAAAGTATAGAACAGCATCATCTCTAGAAAGTGCTTTATCGCCACTAGGAACGATATATATGCTGCTACTGTTCTAAACGTTTAGTATCCTATAAAAAACATTTACAATGACACAATTGGGGTCCAAAAAAAAATAACAGTAACTTTTTATCTAACATTAAAACTCAAATTGACTGCGGTGTCATTAGACATGCCAACTACAGTCAATTTCGCGAACTTTATAAAAAGGAATTTGGCCATTGCCGATTAGCCTCCTTCTCTCTAGTCTTCATAGGTACGCTTTTGACCATTTAGAGGACGTCCCATTCTAAATTATATTCGGACGTTAAATACTGGACATTAAAAAAACGTCCACTCCTGAATTTTATTCCATTTAGACCACATCTCCAGTTTTTTACATAACCACAACTCAGCACACACTATTTATTAATAATTAATTTATTATTTTTGCAACTCGCTATACACCATTTCTCGAACTTACGACACGTCCGTCAACATTCTACCCTTTCAACTACTGGACGATCTCAACCAACGGGTCACCTAAAAACTTTTTATTAGATATGGTTAAAATAGAATAAGATTTCAAACTTCCGTTAATAGAATGAAATATAATAGATTCAATTTGTCAATTTTTAATGACCAAAGTGTATATAGGAGGGTATTATCTGGTAAGCTGAATAAGTAATGACCTAAGATGGACGTTTACTGGACGTCAAAATACTACTAAACTTAAAATTATGTCTAAAAACAGACGTCTTCTGGGTATCGATATGAAGCTGTCAAATTAATGATCATAAACAGGCGTACACTGGATGTCCGAATACGAATATGGACGTTCTAACCCTCATATGGACCTAAAGTGGGCGCCCATATGTGCTATCTGGGTATATGCCCACGGCTCATGCTAGTAGGTCACCGTACATAAGGCCGGTCCCAGACGCTACATGTATTCGGCGAACATTCGGTATTCGGGCTTATTCGCGTAGCGTGCGGGAAGGTAACTTTGACGAAGATTCGTCCTTCATCATTTTCCTGCAAATTGTCCGAAGCAAAGGAACGCAAAGCTGTGTCGAAGTTAACTACGTGTGACTTCGCACTGCTCCCAGACGCTTCGGAATTTAGGGGGGGGGTATATGATGCTTTATCAGTTTATGTGGACTTTACATGCAGCTCAATTTCATGGCAGTGAGCATGGAATTGGACAGGGAAGTTGGCAGCGCGAGTATGTAAACACGTCGCTCGTTTTGCTATTGCTCATGCCACTGTCGCTGCCGCACGATCCCTTCAGTGGCGGTAATTTGAACAGAAGTCAAAAGAATTGGAGCACGAGAGACAGCAACTGTTTACATGCTGCCCGCTGTACTGTTCTGTTGCTTTACCAAGTGCACAAAGAACAACTTATGTTTGTTGTTCGGTTAATTATTGGCACCAAAAACATTTAAACCATGGTTGTGTAGAACAAAGACCAAGTGCTCTTAAAGTTTTTAGAGCTATATGCAACTGAGGTATTATTATGGGATCCTTCACATAAAGATCACAATGGATGGAAAAGGAAAAGTGAAAACCTAGAAATTGCCTCAATTGAAGTACTGAAGTCGAAGAAAAAATCTCTAATGACAACATTTCGGCCGCTATTATAAAAGAAAAAGCGTTGATACGGTCTGGAGCGAATGCTGATAAGGTTTTTCAGTCCATTTGGTTTTTTTATGTCACATTTCTTTTTAAAACATTATATTATTTTACAAACTCAAGAAACCGAGCGCTGCATCCTCCATTAATGCTAGAGAATAATGGGTAGGCGCGATAGCTGCATGTAAATAGTCACAAGCTTCAAAGGCTGCCGTGGAATTATTCAGGTCAGGACAGCGGGCAGCGCGAGTAGCAGCGGCAGTGGCTGCATGTAAAGGCGGCATAGCGATGGGCAGTGCCGCAAGGTTGATTTTTGTATATTTAGTTATTTTTATTTAAAATAAGAAATGGAGTGGACCAACGGATTAACTTTGGAATTTTTACAATCATAAGATACCAGATCACAAAAACAGAAATAAGGTGGCCCGTGCATGGAACAATATTAAAACCTCATTTAGCGTGGAGTGCCCGGTTACCGAATTAAAAAAAAAAAAGAAGGCTTCTCTGATGGCATTATTTCGCCAATCGCTAAATAAAGTAAAGGCTAGTTTGAAGTCGGGTGCTGACAGGGATGATGTGTACAAGCCTACGTGGTTCGTTTACGAAACAATGGCAAATTTTTTACAACCAGTTTATTTTCCAAGAAATACAATAAATACAGAGGTAAGTCATTATATTTTTTATTTTCCAATAACAATAAAAAATTAGTTGAACAAAAACAGCCGTACGAAAGAACTGGTATACCTATACTTAGCTTTTTAAGGGGTCTGGTACGTTTTTTCAAAAAAAATTGGTACTAATAGATGCGATTTAATTTATTATTTATAAATAAGTTAAAAGCGGCGGCAACAATCTGCTCTTCATCTCTGTCCATTTTGAACTAAACAAACGTCATGCATGAAACGTCACTGAAAATCGTCGGCCCTCTCCTTGGAGGCTTCGCCGAATGATTGGCAAGCCATACCACCACGCGGTGTGGGAGACCAGGCAAATATTCATGCGAATGACGAAGATTCGCCAAATACATGTAGCGTCTGTGACTATCTTAAGACTTGACAGGAAAGTTCACTGCTTAGCTGTTTCCAGAACATGAATGGGCACGTTAGTGGCTGTAGAGTTTCAGAACTGCCAAAAAGTGCAAGTAATTTATCTATATTTCACAGAAATTAGACATTCTAAAATATACCTACGTCAAATAAATGTTATGGATTGTCTCATTAATTTTAATTACAGTATCCATAGCGTGCGAACGTATCTTGCTCTCAATTCATAGCTGAGAATAAGTCCTGAGCGGACCAGTGGAAGACTTAACAAAATCTCGCCAAGTAATATTAATCTCTTAGCTGAGTCGCTTCGAAACGGTCTGTATACCGCTTGTGCCGCGGTTCGCCAAGACACGTAGTGTTTGAGCTGCATTTTTGCCAGATCAGCGAGCTTTGTTTATAGTCTGTCGCATATGTGATTCGATTTTCTAGATTATTAGTTTGTGTTAATTCGCCAGCGCGCGTTTCCATTGTATATGAAAGACATGGAAGTAGTTTATAAAAACGAAAATTATTATTTTAAACACGCATATAAATATAAGTTTGCTGATAAAAAATACCGCAGAATAGAATTAATGTATAACAAGTAAGTGGATAAAAGCTGTAAAATAATAATTACTCTTTTTGGGGGGAGGGAGGGGAAATCTTGCAGAACACTTAATGTCTTTTTTAAGAGGCTCACGAGGCATGACTTTGTTTGTTAGAGGTTTAAGGTTTTTACAGATATAATCATAATTATCCACTGCATTCAAAACCTAAAAAATGGACTATGTAACTTAATGTCGATAAAAAATACCTGTGCCACATCTGTATGAGCCAATTTTTTCCAAGGAATTAAGCGGCACGTCATAGCCACATTCTTCAAAAATTTCTTCCTTTGCTATTTCCTCTAAAGATTTATCTTTGTCTACCAAACCAGCACAGAGTTCTAGCGTGATTCCCAGTTTTGGAGGATACTTTTTTATGTCAATTTCTTGGCCAATTTTTTGGTCACTTTCTGAAAAAAATAATCTTTTTTTACTACTAACCTGAGAAATTGCTATTATTCACTCCATTCCCCTAACGAGAAGTAATATTTCTCACCCTAGGTAAATAATGATAATAAAAAAACACCTAGGTAAATAATGAGAAAAATTCTATATTCTTAACGAAATTAACAGAAACACTTGTTAACGTAATTTTAACCAAAAGCACAAAAATATATATTAACTAGGAAATTCAACACTGGCAATAGGCTTCAAAAATTATTAATTAATACCAATAAATCCATGTCATTAAAATATCAAAAATGCAATGGGATATTTCCTAGAATCATATCAAAATTTGTCACATGCCAAATTTTTACATAAATAAAGCCAATCTGATTAGAAACACACTCCACTCTGCTTGATATTTCGAAATATTTAACAAATTGTTAGGAAATTACTTATGTCAAAATTAAAATTGCTAATATATTAATGTTAGTAGTAAAAAAAATTCTATATATACCTCGGCTGAGAAAGCTATTATTTACCTCGGTAAATAATAGCTCACTTCTCACCCTAGGTACATAATGTACTATTATTTTCTCACAAGACTTACAAATTAGTTATAAGAATAGTCAATATTAGGTACTATATATAGTATAGTAAAAGGATGATAATGAAATATAGAAAAATAAAAAATAAAAAGAAAACAAACTAATAAAACTTCAAATTATCTTTAAGACAAAAACGAACCAATGAATAAAATATTCCTCTAAACTAAAGAGTAAAAACAATTATCAGCCAAAACATCTTAAACATGCCCAATGGCCTAACTACAATGGTGCTATTCTGGTGCCACGGTGCGGTGGCACCAGAACCCGCGCCAATGGGGATCCGGCGGCTCGGTTAAAGTCTCAAAAGAAGTGCTTGAAATAATTTGTGGTGATTTTAAAAACTGTCGAGTATTCGAAAACTGTTAAATTCTGGTCGTTTGACGTTTTGTACCTGTAAAATATTTCATAAAAGTAAAACTATACAAAAATATGTAGATAGGTACTATAAACAATATGCTCTTAAAACAATTACTGAACTAATAACAGTTTTTGTTTGTATTAGAATTGTTTTTAGGTCCATTTTGCACTTTGTTTAAAATAATTATATTTGGTGTAGGTACTACTAGTAGGTATTAGGTATAGGTACAAAACTTTTGTAGGTATTTCACATGTATTTAGACAACAAGCAATGCTCTTAAAAAGCAAACAGGAAAATTCAGGTTTATCTACCAAGGACTATTTTTGTAGCAATTAATTAATATTTATTTTCTTTAATAAATATAATGTCCGTTCTTCAAGTAGAACTTTTTTCATAAATATAAACTTTATAGGTATGCAAAATGCCAGTATTTCCAAATTATTTAATTTTTATTCCGAACATTTTAAAGAATCCATCCGTATGTTTGAACCAAGGGAAAAAATAAAAATAATCCACCATCAGAATAACGAAAGATATTAATTCCTACCTACTAATCTAGCGATCTAGCGCTTAATATTATGTTATTTTTATTGTATATTGACTTATTGACAGTTATGCGACGCGCATAATATATTTTACATGAATAGAAATTTACGCGATTTTTAATAATTCCTACAAATTTTTGATTTATACATACTTATTATAGAGAGGGTATGAGCCCGATTTGAGATATGGAACCAGGGCTCCACGTTGTCTTGTTACGCCAGTGAACAGGCCTTTAAATTTACTAGATTCTCTAACGTTCTGATATGTTTCGGTAGGTGGTTAAAAACATGTAAACCCAAAATTGTAGAAAAGTTACATGCAATTTTGTATTTACAGTATGGTATGCGATAATTTTAATTTAAAAGACTGATGGAATTTATGCGCTTCCAATTTCAAAACCGCTGAGATCTTATATATCTCTTTCTCCAGTGCCTACATCATTGGGCCACCAAACGATAATACCTACAGCCTCATATTATCACTACAGGTAATTTAGCCTCACTTGAAAATATACCTATTTTTACTGAACCTCAAATCAAAAATACGAGCCCTAACCACTATATGTTCGGCCTTTTCATAATTTTATTTCAGATATTTATTAGGAAATAGGAAACTTATGTTTATTATATTTGTTTATGATCAAATCCCTAATTTTTTTTGGGTTGCTTTAACGCGACCCATTTTCAATAACGAATAAAAAAATTACATTAGAAACTGTCACAAAGATACCATCACACTTTCAACAACTTAAAACGTCAAACCACAAAATAAGTTAGTGTTTCATTATGTGCGTCAAACACGTAATAGATATTTATACAAGTGAGTTAAACGAATTTTTATTCGCGAGAAGAAATTAGATCGCGAGCCGCTAGGCGAGCTTAATCGATCTTAATCGATCTTAATTGTTGTTATGGAATTGATAAAGACATTTTAATGTGTAAAAATTGGATAAAAAAACTTAAAACGTCAAAAATTCCAAAACCAACTAAATAAGTTAGTGTTTATTAGGTTCGTCAAACACGTCAAAAATTCCAAAGCCTCCCAAACATTAAATTTAATAATTGCGGAGGATATTGTTCGAACATTAAAATGGTCATTTATCTTTCGATTAGATACTGTTTAAAAAAAAATAAGATCATGGTGCGTCGTGCTCTCACAAATATTAGAAACATCAACAACTATTAAATTTAAGTAATTTTTAAAAAATAGATGTTCTTCTTCAACCGTAAGTTTCCTAATATAATAACGGAAATAAAATTATAAAAAGGCCGAACATATAGTGGTTAGGGCTCGTAATTTACTACTTATTAAAGCTAACTTATCCGCTGGTCTTGACGACTTAACACATAATTTCTTAAGAAAAATGCGGAGGCATTCTGTCATATCCTCTTTCTATAATAATGAATACGTCTTTCATTCAAGGTTCTCCTCCCTCCTCCTGGAATCAATTGTTCTCCTTTTTAATCCATGAAAATGTTATACTTCAACAACAATACGGTTTATTAAAGGACTCTTACCAGCCTCCTTCATTGTAAAAATAACTGGACGAAATCCATTGATGATAATAAACCTATTGATATCATTTATCTAGATTGTTTTAAGGCTTTCAACAGAGTCCCAAAACGTTGACTACTCCTCCATAAACTAGAACATCCAGACAACCTCGGTAACCCTCATAATTGGATTTTTAATTATAAAGTAAGAGTTGGTAGCGAGTTCTCTTTAGAAAACTAATCTCAAGTGGTATCCCATAGGGCTCCGTTCTCGACCCTCTGATGTTCACTGCTTACATAAGCGACCTCAAAGCTCTAGTTTTATCCTCCATATTGATAAAAATAATCCGAAGTTACCATATTCAATTAACGGGCATGCATTAAATAGTGTCTTCGTACAACGATCTAGGTGTTACGGTGAATTATAATATATCAAAAAACATTCTCAAAAGTGTCGTTTGAAACGTTGTGCAGAACATATAAATACTACGTCCGTCCTATCCTAGAATATGCAGGACCTGTGTGGTATCCAGAACTTAACAAATACTTCAATTTATCCAACGTTGCGCCATCCAGTTTACCTTTGGCCGCTTTAGACCCTCATAGAGGAAAGGTTAGAAATTCCAACAGAGACGTCTCCGCGGTGACCTAATTTTGTCCGTTCGAATTATGAAATATATTATACAATTTACCGCTGTCCGACTCGTGAACATTCACAAAAACGGCAAAAAGAACATTTCAATATAAGAACGAGAAAAAATTTTCTGAGTAACAGAATCTTCGAAGTCTGGAACAACTAAGAAATTATAGACTCCCAAAGCGACAACATTTACAAAAACAATATAAACAGGCATATTTTCACAAACTATATTAGATGATTTCATCGGAAGACATATTGCAGTTGCAAGATCATTGCAAGAGCTTTGCGCCATCTTTCAGTTTACATAGCAAGTAACAAGCACGATTTTATTTCAAAGGAAGCTATAAATTCTCTTTTCGGCAATCTGTCTAAGGTTACGGCGTAAGTATAATTTTTTTTTTCCCTTATTTTTTCTTTAGTTGTATGTGCTAAGTTTTTCTCTAGCACTATCTGAGGGCTACCTGGCTTGCTCTTATGGCTGATTTCTGTGAACTATAAACTTTTTTAAAAACTAAATACTGAGAAGGAAGAAATAAGAAATTTAATCTGACGCTTAGACAGATTGCCGAAACGAAAAATTTACAGTTTCGTTTGAAATAAAATTCTGCTTTTATTACTGGCTATGTAAACTGATAGATGGCGAAAGCTCTTGCAATGACCAGGTACACCAACTATTATTATTAGAATTCGTTTTTGAACAAAAAAAACATCATGTACCATAGAAGAATCACCCCACAAACGTATACCATATTGTTTTGATTTAAAATTTCAAAAGAAAGAATTATTTTTTTACCAGTCAGTGTAGTATAGTAACTTTTCCATTTATTATTTTCATCTATAACCAACCGATAAGTGATACCTTGTTTACCATAATTTCTACTGATTTGCACCTTTTCGGTAATTATGAAATTTTAGTACTTCTGTTTCATTTGGATTTAAAAAGAGAGAATTGGAGCTACACCAGTCTATTAGGTAATTTAGAGTCAATACATTTTTGTTGAATATAATCATCGTCTTTATCCGATTAGCTCAATGACTTATCATCCTAATCATCATAATAATATGAGTATTGGACAATAAGTTACTTAGATCATTGGAGTACAATAAAAATTGAATTGGTCCTAGCATGGAACCTTGAAATCAATGTGATAGAAATCTTAAAGTTCTTATTTAATTACAATTATAATAATCTTTACTGCTAACATCGGGCAGATTTGAAAGTTTTCGTATTAGAGAACTGGCTATTTTTAAATATGTTTTCATTGTGTGGTGTATTGCAATTCATAATTCCCGCTAGGAACCTACTATTTCCGGAAAGATCGGGAAATGCGTGGTACAAGACCACTTTGAGTAGAACAAGTCACATGACCTACTTCGATATCTCTTTGAACCTAATAAATGTGTAATAATTAGTATTAAGAAGTTAATCTGCGATATTCTGTTATTAAGGAGGGAAATAAAAAAGCGGACTTAGAATATTATTTATTCCCTAATTTCCCTCAGACCAACTTACATAACACATTCATTTGAAGAAAAAATAATATTATTTAAATTCTGTCTAAGGCAGATTTTGTCATTTTGGATAACTAATATTAAATATGGACGCACATTTGAACAAAACGGAAGAGGAATCTAAGAATGTCAATGGATAGATCAACATCTTCAAAAAAATTCGTAGATGTAGACTGTCAAATCTGTTGGATTTGTAAATAAAAGTTAATTATAATTTAAGAAAAAGTTTTGTCACAAAATCTTGTGATAATTGAAATTATTATCTATTATTCATCTGATTTGACTTCTCTCATCTTTTATGTTACTCTGAAATTTTTCATTGTGTAAACGCTACTAACTATTAAGTATGGGAACAATATAGGATTTTGTAGAAAAATTTAATTTCGTAAATAATTACCTGGAATGGATGAAATATATACAGCAGGTCTGAACTGTTTAACGAAAACTAAGACTTTCCTGGGTTTGTTGTATAAAATAATAGCAACTCTATTTTTGCGAGAAATTATATGCCTGGTTCGATGTCTACCATTTTGAAGAAAATACACGCTATGAAGCTTAATCCAAAGCGATTTTTCAATGGATTTTAACATTATTTGAGACACATCATTTATGTTTTTATTCATGATGATTTTGTTAAATCCAAAAAAATTTTGTAACCTATAGAAAAAGCGAAACCACTGAATTTTCATCATGTGCATCTGCGAATATTAAATAGCTGATTTGATGGTTTCTAACAAGTTACAAGCACTTTTAAATAGACGAGTTTTAAGCTATTTTAAATACTTTTTTTGTTGTTTTAGGTAATAAATCAATAATGACAGCTAAAATCATACAACAAAAAATTGATAACATTAGGCATTCCAACAGCCTGTCAAACTGCTGACAAGTGGGAACTGACATTTTAGATATGGCAACCCTGTGAGCCTGTTGTCATTGACAGGGTCGTTTGCGATTGGCCATATTGCCTCGTAAGTGCTCATTAATCAGAATCGGTTTTGCAAAAATATTCAGCCTCCGAATATAGCAAAAAAAATTATTACCTACATTTTTACTTCAAGGCATAAGGTTTGTTTCAACAGCGAATCAGATCATCAGAAGGACGTCAGACGCATGCGCATTGAAAATAGTCCGTTCCTACAAAGCCACGGATAATCCGATGAACGTCAATAAAACGTTCCAACGTATTTTCTGATTCGCACATGAATGAGTCGGCGGATTGCAGCGTTGCCAGCAATAGAAAAATAAAAGTACTGTAGTGATACTTAAAACGGTATTGACTAAAAATAAAAAGTACTGACAGTTGCTTCATCTGAAATGACAAGCACATAATGACGTTTAAAAAAATATAATTTAACATATGAGTGCCATTTGCATTTAACGATTACGAAACATGGAATGACGGGGTTTATGCATAAAAGAAAAAAGTGCACAATGTAAGGTTCCTTAACTTTGGAAAATATTGTCATTTTAAAATCAGGTATGTACATTATAACATACATTCAATAAAGTAGTTAACTACTTGTTATTTATTTAATAGTATATCAGGTGCAACGCAACCTATCCCTATATCAATTATTTTTCTAATTAATTAGAAAAAATTATACCGGAAAAAATACTAAAATGAAAGTTGAGTAACTAGTTTTTTGGAAAACCTTATAGATTTTTTTCATCTTAATTTAGGCTGTACAATACTTTTTGTCTTTTTTCCATATCAATTATTGTTCTTTTAAAAAGTTATTAGTGACATCATTCTCTATAATTTCTGTGTTTGACATAATTTTCCTAAAATGGCCAGTATTTGGGAAATTTTGAGAAAAAGTGGAAAATTCGAATTGTTTTTGTTCTCCTCTATTACTTTTATCCCCTCATTTTGTATCGGGCTATAACCGATACAATTTAAATAGGGAAAGTACCAGGTATAACACATTAACGAAAATTTTATTTTGCCTTACTTTTAATTTTAGCTCCCAATAGCATGATAAAAAATTGTTACGTCTTGTAATGTGTGGCACTTAATTTGAAAGCTAATTTTTTTAGTAATTACAATGCACCCATAGAATGCACCACATAAACTAAATACTTTCATATTGCACTTGCAACAAAATAAAGTTAGTAACAAATGCAATATTTTTTCTTTTTAAGTTCATCTTTCATAATGTAGTGCATTGAATTACTAATAAAATAATCTTTTAAATTAAATATCACACTTTAAAATACGTAACTGGCGCTAAACTTAAAAGTAGTCCAATGCACAGTAATAGGTATTGCTGAATTCGCAATTCCTCTTTAAATGATCTTTTCGATGATGCGTCATACTTGGTACTTTCCCTATCTAAATTATATCAGTTAGAGTGACGGAGGGGAGAAGAATAACATATTATGAAAATTAAGGATATGATAAAAAGGTGTCCCCCTTGCAATAAAAATCGCCCAGTTTTTGTGGTTTTTTTTTATTATTTTTCAAGATATTCGGAGATACAGCCGCTAACAACTCTTAATCAGAGATACAAGAAAATAAAAAAAAAAACATAATAAGAAACTTTTTTGGGGTAGTTATAGCCCATCTTCCAGTGATTCGCCATAGTAAAAATAATAAAATTTAGAATACTAAAAATGTATCGCAAGTATTTTAAGTTTACCTACTACCTAACTACCTGCAAATAAAAACAGGGCGCATCTGCCACTAACTTGACCCTTCTTAAAAAGCAGGTAAGCTCCAAAAATAGAATAAGGCGCAAATGCCACAATTTTAGGTAGTGGTCGCAAGTACGGGCGCATCTACCATAGATCCTAATAAAATACCTAGTTAAATAAGCTAAAGATTACCTGGAATTGAAGCAAAATACACTGCTGGTCGAAATTGTCTTACAAAAAGTAAAACGTTCCTTGTTTTATTATATAGAATAATAGCCACGCTATCTTTTCGAGCTGCTATATGCCAAGTTCGATTTCTACCATTTTGAACGAATTGCATGGTGTACAGTTTCATCCAACGTGACCTTTCGATTGGTTGAAATATTACTTCTGATATATCATCCATTTGTTCACCTTAACAGACTTATTAAACAGAAAATATTTGTTGTCACCTAATTCAAATATATAGATAATTAACTAAATATATTTTTAATCACATTTAAAGTAGTTTCATATATAATTTTGCACTTACATAAAAACCTAACCTTTATTTTACTGACATCGAGTTGATATTCCAGTTTACTAAACATAATAATTGTTATACTATTTTTTTTGTTTTCATGATAACATTGATATGGCAAAATGGATATACGAGGGGAACTTGAAAATATTTATTGGTTTCCCGATATTAATCTAAATAAAAGTAATCTACAACGTGGAAGTAATATCGCAAATATTGTTGAAATATGCTAGCCTCCTACTACCTAACCAGCATTTACAGAATTTTTTATTTTTGAATCAAGTTTGTATTAATTTTGTTTTTTATTAAAGTTATGTTTTTTAAGTGTATCAGTAATAAATACAAAGTCATAGTTTACTGAACACATACAGCTGACAAGTAGTGTTTTGCAGGTCGAGACAAACAGCTTGGAGAGACCTGCTTAACACTAATTTTTGGTCGTGTGACGTACAATATTTTTTTAAAATCGACACTTCGATGTACACTCAATTATTTATTTTATTTAATAAAGTGATTAACAAGTACTAAAACTAAAACTAGATAATCGATAGAACTGCATAAACTGACCAAATACATTATTTTTGAATATTTATGTTAAATGTACATTTTTGCTGCTTCCAAAATTTCTTCTGGAATTCAAAATCTGAATCCATATTTTTAAATTTGCGAAAACAAGTTCGACATGAAAAACAAATTAAAAATCAACGAACTGTCACTTGGCAATCGGAACGTTGTTACCATAGTAACAAAATCAAGACACACTGTATTATCAAACAGCGATCAGAAAAATAAAAAAGGGGACCGGTAAAGCTTTTTCCTACGACCACTTAGGAAAGTGACACATATCACACTATATAGTCCTATGGAAAGTGCCCTATATCACACGCGTATGAATAAGAATTTGCTTTCCACCCGAGTGAGAATATGTTACTTTCCGCAGTAGTTGTCACAAAATGTCAAACACCTAATTTCTATTTTGATCTATGTAATGTCCATATTAATACTAATATCGATAAAATTGTTAAATTATTGAAATCGTTGTAAATTAGATCCTAGATATTTATCTTTAACAATTATTTTTAAAATAATTTTAAAATAATGTTTGCTCTTTATTCTGGTTAAATACATAACCGATTAAATCATTCAATTGACACAAGGGCTATTAGCACAGGTGGTTAGGACGTCGAACTTATCAACTTTGCCATTTTTCGACCGCGTTCGAATCCAGGCCGGGCAGAATTTTTTTTTAGTTTTTTTTTAGTTTTTTTTTTGTTTAGAAAATGTGAAAATTGAATAAATACGATTATTGTTGATTATTTTTTTAAATACATTTTAATTATTATAGGTAGTAATAATAACCTTGGTTTTACATTTTTTTAAAGACATTATTTTGTGGTCGTAGGAAAAATATTGTGCATCACTTATGTGAAAAGTGATTTTCGACACTCGTAATGTAATATACTATTACCGGTCCCTAACGTCTACTTTCCGGTCTTGATCGGCAAAACGTTACTTTCTGGATGAAAAATTGTTCAAAAAGTGTATAATTCATGGGTGAGAATATGTTACTTTCCGCAGTAGTTGTCACAAAATGTCAAACACCTAATTTCTATTTTGATCTATGTAATGTCCATATTAATACTAATATCGATAAAATTGTTAAATTATTGAAATCGTTGTAAATTAGATCCTAGATATTTATCTTTAACAATTATTATTAAAATAATTTTAAAATAATGTTTGCTCTTTATTCTGGTTAAATACATAACCGATTAAATCATTCAAGTGACACAAGGGCTATTAGCTCAGGTGGTTAGGACGTCGAACTTATCAACTTTGCCATTTTTCGACCGCGTTCGAATCCAGGCCGGGCAGAATTTTTTCTAATTTTTTTTTAGTTTTTTTTTTTGTTTAGAAAATGTGAAAATTGAATAAATACGATTATTGTTGATTATTTTTTTAAATACATTTTAATTATTATAGGTAGTAATAATAACCTTGGTTTTACATTTTTTTAAAGACATTATTTTGTGGTCGTAGGAAAAATATTGTACATCACTTGTGTGAAAAGTGATTTTCGACACTCGTAATGTAATATAATATTACCGGTCCCTAACGTCTACTTTCCGGTCTTGATCGGCAAAACGTTACTTTCTAGATGAAAAATTGTTCAAAAAGTGTATAATTCATGGTCGGTCTTAAAAATAAAACACATATTATATTATTCTTATCATAATCTATTTCAATGCTTATACTTTTTTTTTTTTTTTTTTGGCTTGGACTTTTGGACTTTTGTCATTCAGCCAGTCACTTAATGAATATAAATAATATAATATAAATAATACAATACAAAATAAATGGTAAACAACCATGGCAACAAAAATAATCCATCGGAACAAAATCAATCTGTCGCAACAAAACTAATCTACCGCAACAAAACCAACCTATCACGTCAAACAAAAATTAAAAAGACAATACTTTTCAAAGGAAATAAACAAGGACACTCGTTTCTCGTCCAGGGACCCATCAGGACATTTTTTTTCAAGACACACTAGAAATAGGCCACGGAGTGGGTAGGGTAATATAACAAAGGTAATTAGGATATATCAAAAACAAAGGTAACAAATCTACTACAATCTTATATCTGCTTTAGACAGAAATTCTATCAAACAATCAAAATTTTCTTTTTTAGATGAAGCCAAAATTGATAATACA